ATTTAATTCTTTCACAGCTCAGAGTGCTTTATTCTCTAGTTTCAAAGGTAAATGATATGCTTTTTTTAAAAATAATCTATAAGATGATATTCCAATATGTGTCTTAAATTCATACCTATAACCCAAAGTGCATCATTTAACTTCAAAGCCCAATCCTTCCTATTAAGAATTATAATTTTTTTTCAAATTTCTTTTAATCTCCCTCTTATTTATTTCAGTCTGGCCTTTAGTTTGGGGATGATAAACAATTAAAATTCTATGTTTAATATCATATTTAAGAATAATATCTCTATTCTTTTATTACAAAACTCCCCCCATCTCTAATAATCACTTTAGGTATTTCAAATTTAGAAAAAAATATTTTTCTTAAGAAATTTATTTATTGCCTGAGCATCTATTTTGGGAGTTGCTATTCCTTCAATGCACTTGGAGACATAATTGACTACTATCAAACTATATTTATTTTCAAAAGGTTGCACAAATTGTCCCATAAAATCTAGTCCTCAAATATAATAAATTTTGATTTCTAATATCATACTAAGAGATATTCATTTTTTTGGTTATATTACTTATCCTCTGACAATGATCACATTTTTTTACATATTCATTTACATCCTTAAATATAGTAGGCCAATAAAATTCAGTGTGTAAGATCTTAGAAATAATTCTAAAACCTTCGAAATGACCTCATACTCAGAATCATGACAATGCCTAACAATTGATTCTATTTCTTTTTTTGGGATACATCTCCTAATGATTTGGTTCTTACACCTAAACAAGAGCGGCTCATACCAAAAATAGAATTTAGCATCATGCATAAATTTATTCCTTTGAGTATAAGATATGTTAGTAGGAATAACCACACTAATAATGTAGCTCATAATATCAGCATATCAGATAAATGCACAACAAACAAATGCTGCATCAAATTTTTGTAACGAAAGAATTCACCTCACCAATTTAGGATCTTTCTTTGTCTTAAAAAAATTAATAGTAGAATAATGCGTGTGCACTAGAACAAAGGTGTCAATTACATAAGATATAAACTTGTTAAAAACAAGGACTATGGCTAATAGTTCTTCTATAGTGTTTGTGTAGTTAAATTTAGCTGAGTTTAGGGGTTTGGTGTCATTATAAATGGGATGAATTTTTTTTTCCTTTTTCCTAACACAATACTTACAACATAATCACTAGCATCACATATAATTTCAAAATACATTATCCAATCAGGTGTAATAATAGTACATTTTATCCAATCAGGTGTAATAATATCATGTACTATGATTAAGTGATGTTTGAAAATGTTAAAAGCTTTTAGGCATTCTTCATTAAAGTAAAAAGGGACATCTTTTTTATGTGACATAATTATTTTGAAATTTTAGAAAAATTCTTAATGAATCTTTTATAAAATCTAGCATGGCCTAAAAATGGTTTTCAATCCCTTGGACTTTTAGCTCTATCTATTTTTAAACCCTTCTCAAAATTTTTTTGGCCTAGGCTAATACATTTTATTACCATAAATTGACATTTCTCTCAATTTAGCTTCAAATTTATTTCAACACATCTTTTTAAAACCAGAGTAAAATGTACTAAGAGAGAATCAAAAGTGGTACCAAATATAGAGAAATCGTCGATGAAAAATCTCAATGCAATGTTCAGTTAATTACAAAAATATTAAGATTATACATCTTTGAAAAGAGTCTCATAAGGACTAGTAAATGTGGTTTTATCCTGGTCTTCTAGTGTTATAGAAATATGATGGTATTCTGAATAATAATCTAGGAAGTGATAAAGAGGATGTCCTGTTAATCTATCCAACATCTGGTCAAGAAAAGATAGAGAAAAATGGTCATTCATTGTTGTTTTCTTCAACTTTATATAGTCTATATAAATTTTCCAGCCTATAACTGCCCTTGTGGTATCAATTTGTTCTTTTTATTAACTATTACAGTCAAACCACCCTTCTTAAGAACACAATGAATCGGGCTAACCCATGCACTATTTAAGATAGGGTAAATAATTCCTGCATATAACTACTTGAGTATCTCATTTTCAATACTTTCATAATAGGCTTCAGCCTTCATTGGGGATCGACTTTAGGGTAAGAATTTTCTCTATCAAAATTTTGTGTATACATAATGATGGACTAATTTTGATGAGGACATCGTCAGAGATTTCGACACACGTTTCACATCATATTCCCTTAACATTTGCTATGGTTCAACAAAAAGCTCTCTTACACTCACTAAGAAACCTAATCAACTTATCCTTTTGTTGTTCTTCTAATTCAACATATATGATAACATTTAAAGTTGATTCTTTTCATAAAAGGCATACTTTAAATGGGTAGGCAAGGCTTTTAGATCTAAAAAGGTGCCTCTAGAATTGAAGGTTTCAAAGGTTTACCTAGGTATAAGGTATTAAGCACTTCAAACCTATCCCTAAAAATCCTAAGAGCATCACCAATCAATTGAACAAAATGTTTACCTCCCTCTTCACTAGCTTTATCACACAATGGAATCTCCAAAGAACTATCTAACAACAAATCCTCCAAAGAATCTTACACATAATCATCAATTGTGTCTACTTTATGAAAACTCTCATTTTGGTCATTAGAAAACTTCATTAACTTTGAGATATTGAAGGTTACTTTCTAATTTTGTAGCTCATAGTCAATTCTCCTCTTTGCACATCTATCAGAGCCCTACTGGTAGTTAGGAAAGGTTTATCTAAAACAATAAGCATGTCCTTATCTTCTTCCATATCTAAGACAATGAAATCCATAGGGAAGATAAACTTATCTACTATGGTACACAGATAGGACAATACAGATACAATACGATACGAACACAAAACACATCAATTATTGAAAGTATAAGATACAGACACGGGTTAAACATGGTATTATAATTTTTGTATTTTAAAAATAATGTATAAAATCGAGTAAGTGTAATTAAAAAAAAAATTAAAAACAATAAGTCATTTAACTAGAATTTGTGTTTAAAATGATTAATATAAGGATGTCGAGAGTTGGGTATTAATGCCGTGTCGGGCTTAACAATGTTATCAAGAGTTGGACATTGATGTTATGTAGTAAGTATTGGACGTTGATGTCAAGTGGGCATTTATCATCGATATTGAATGAGCGTTGGTCGTCGTGTTGGATAAAGATGAGCTATCAAGTTGTGTGTGTAGAAATTCTTAGCATCGAGCATGAATGTCAAGACAATGTCAAACTTTGATATTTAGATGATTTGAAATATTGATGTTGTAACGAAGTCAAATATCAATGTTGAGATGACATCAGGTACTTGTGAAACCAAAGTCGCAACCAGCCAAAGAGAAATGAAAATGAGAATATTCGATGAATGGATATTGAGTGCGGGTGATTGATTTTGTGTTGTGAAGAGAAAATAAGAAATTTAGTTTATATTTAAGATAAATAAAAATTTTAAATATAAGAAGTTATATTAAAAATCATGAAATATTTAAAACACGCGTGTCCAATTTGTATTTAATATATTTTTAATCAGACACGTTTTTAGCCTATCTGACACATGTTAGAGGTGTGTCAGATGTGTATTATGTCGGATATGTGTCTCGGGCACTGCACGGCTTTTTGAACAGAAGTGTCTGTGCATCATAGCTTATCTATCTTGGCTAGCATATCTTATATTATCTCCTTATGAGAGTTAAATGAATAGTTTGCTATTGAAGGGTAACAGTGGTAGGTTGGGCTTTTCTCCTGGATCAAGTTTTCTGAATATGATCAAGGGCATTAAATTGGTATGGGCTCCTATATCACATAGTGTTCTACCACATAATTGATCCCCTATATCCATAGGAATGGTAAAACTATTAGGGTCGTTAAGCTTTTATGGGCAGAATTGCACTACATTCCTTAGTTATCGCTACGGTCTCAAAAGCTCTTAATTTACTTTTTATTCTAAGGATATCTTTCATGTACTTAGCTTATGTGGCCATTTATTATAAGGTTTATGTAAATGGAATGTTAATAGTCAAAGTTTTAATGATTTTCAAAATCCTTGAAAACTACTTATACAAATTCTGTTTCAGGAATCTTTGGGGAAATTGTGGTGTGGCCTTTCAACTATGCTTCCTATAGGTTTATCTACTTCTTTTACATGTTGAGGTGGTTCCTTAGGTCTGGCTACTTCTACTTGCTACTTCTACTTGTTCTTTTATCGTGGCCTTCTCCTCAGATTGAGCCTTTCTTCTAGTCACATTTTCTAAATCTTTCCCACTCAATTGAATTATTTTGTACCATTTTTTATCTTTTTTCAGGTTTAATTTCAATATTATTAGGTAAAATTTCTTTGGGTCTATTAGTTAAAGATCCAACTTGCTGTCCTAATTGATTTTCAACATTCTTAATGAAAGCAGGTTAACTTTCAAATACATGCCCATTTGCAAAATTAATTCTGGTAATGAAGGCTTTTTTATCCTTAAGTTAGTTATTGGAGTTAAATTCGCGGGAATTAAACTTTTGGTTAACAAATTTTGAGGTTGGGGATTCCAGTGTCGTACTTGATTTGGTTGATTAGAGTTCAAATTAGTGTTATTATTTTGATTATTAATCCAATTAGAGTTTGTATGATTTGTCCAACATAGATTATAAGCATTGGAGTAGGTATTTTTGGTTTTGTTATTAATTGCATTAATTGATTCTACTCCAGACATTCGAGGTCATTAGAAATTCCACATATTTTTTCTAAGCTCACAGGTGAATTTTGATGTGAATTAATTTCAAGGTTATCTAATTTTCTAGAAATAGCAGTTACTTGAATAGTCAATATTGATAAAGCATCAAATTCATAAATGGTAGCTACTTTTCTAGGGTTGATTCGTTCTGAAGGCCATTAAAAATGTTTGTAGTCATTTTTTCAATCAAGAATAGGCCTTGTTAAAGGCCTTTGACATTAGAGAACTAAAGGAACATATTAGGTCATTATAAAAAGTTTGAATTATTAACCATTTAAAAAGCATGATGAAAGCTTTCCCTAAGCTTCTTCTTAATCTTTCCCACGATTCATAGATAGATTCACCTTTTTACTGGGTAAATGATGTGATCTCATTTCTAAGTTTGATACTTTTAGAAGGCGAGAAGTATTTGATTAATAATTTATGTGCAAGTTTGTTCCAAGTTGTTGTTAATCCTGGGGGCAATGAATTTAACCAAAATTTAGCTTTATTTTTAATAGAAAATGAAAAATAATTTAAGTCTAATAGCATCATAACTAATATCATTATAATTGAAGGTTACACAAATCTCTAGGTAACTAGCTTTGTGTATATTAGGGTCTTGTGGAGATGTCCCACAAACTACAAGTTTTGAACCATTTGAATTATGAAAGATTTCAATTCAAAATTATTAGCTTTTATGACAGGTCTATTGATATTTTGTTGAATACCTTCAACCATGCGTTGACTTATTTCCTAAGCTGTATAGTAGGTTGGTCATTTTCATGAAGTTTAAGCCATTTTTCACTCCTTTTCTAATTTTTAAAAATTTCTAATTTTTCATGAAGTTTTTTCAATTTGAGCATCCAAATTAAATTTTATCGATTGTTTAATATTATGCATGCAACACTAAGACACATAATAGAAAATATAAAACACTAAACATGAACAACCAAACAAATATCAAACAAGTGACAATTTAAGCAAGTAAAATAAAAATAAAACATTACTAGATTAAAAAAGCAATGGATTGATCAATATAAAATCCAAAGCTGGATAATAATTTGTCTTGTTGTGATTTCCTGAGTAATGATGCCCTAAACATGGCAGGACAGTGTTGCAGTTACTATCTAGCTTATGCGAATGTAGAATTTCATTCTTAAGCATACACACATAATTCAATTTGTAATGGAAGGTTAATTTGTCTACGGTGTAAGTTCTATTTTAACACAAGTGCGCATAACCTATCAAGTAATATAATGATGAAAAAAGAGTGTCGATCCCTTGAGGAATCGTCTAAAATTTATTCGACGTTCACTTTACTCTTGCCTTCTAGACTATTAAATTTATCTAGTTGAATGATTTAAAAAGGCTATATAGGTTAAAAGTAAAGAGCTTCATTTTGCATAAATGAAATTACTTGTTTTAGAAAATTTTGAACATATGACATGATTGTTTTAGAGAGTTTACTATTTAATGTTGCTATGGATTAGAGCAAATGTGCTATTAGACTTAAATCAACCAAGCATAGATAAAATAAAAATAACATGAAGATCCCAAACTCTAAACGCCATATGTCTATGCATGGCTGGACTACGTTCTAAATTCTAATTATTCTTCTAGTCCATCTGTCGATGCTTAAGATTACTTTATATTTTGAATTTATGTAAGGCCAATACATAAATCAACCAAGCATAGAGAAAATAAAAATAACATGTATATATAAAAAATATAAATCTACTCTAAGCAATGCATACCTTTCAAATCATTATAGATTTAGAGAATTTGTTTAAACACATGGAGGCGATGATACACATAACAAACACAAAAAATATTTTATTTCAATGAATACTAAACAAAATATAAAATGACCAGCACAAGATAACAAGATAAATAAATAAAACTAAGTTTAGAAATGACCCATAATTTGAATTATAACCCCTTAGCACTTCTCCACTTTGTTCCACTCCAATACAAAACTCTAGATACAAGAGCACAAGTTGCACTCTCACCAAGACAGCCCATACACTCACAAACATTTACATTCAATGAATTCATAATGTGCCAACCCTTTAAAAAGAGTTTAAAGCTACTATTTATAATTTTAAAAGTTAACTGAACGAGCATTGTGGTTCTAACTTGATTGCGCAGTGGCACTAACTTGATGGCGTTGCGACATTGCTAATCAGCCTCATCAGTTCAGCAGTAGTCACTCGGTTCACAGGTCCAACTGACTCCTGCTACGACACTGAGTGATTTGGCCCCACGACATTGACCGGGTAGCATTTTTGGTGCTAAGCGCTCCAGTAGAATTTTGTTAAGATCTACACTATGGTGTTGAAGATGTGGCGTTGCGGCACTAGTCCAATTTTCATAATTATTCTCTATTTTCCTACACAACACATAACAAACACAAAATAACATAATATATTAATTTGAAATAAAAAAAATTATCTTATGATCTTATCAATGCTATTATCTTCTTCTAATTTATCAAGTATTTAAGAGTGCAAAATGCACATAACTGCATCCCATCAGCTAAGAGGAACTCTACTCATTATTATATAGTGAAGAAATCAATATAGCTACAAAAACAGTTTAAGCTCTCTAATTCACCTAGCCCTTTGATAATCACATAGGACTCATTTGCCACCCACAGCTGTGGCACAAACTCTGTCACAATTGTGGCCACTTAGCATGTTAGAGAGGTCGCAACATTCTCATTATAGCCAAGGAGGAGAAACTAACCTCTACACCCATCTAATGTTAGATTTGCTAAGATTTGTCACTTTGCTCGCAAGTGTTAGCACTGCACCTATCTCAACTACAATGACAATGCCAATCACAACATAGATGCTCTTTCAGCTAGGGAGCCATCCAGCATTTATGAATAGCTAGCTATGATGCAACGACACAGACACGGCGACACGGTCACGATACAACACGGACACGGGACACCATTTTTTAAAAATATAGATCATGGGTGCGGCGCGGACACAACGTAATAATTTTTTTAATATAATATAAAAAATTAGAAATTAAGCTGACATCATATTAGAAATGACAAACAATAATAAATCAATGTAAAGATAACTTTTTTAACTTATAAAATAAAAATGTTTAGTGCAAAATGTCTATTACAACGACAAAAAATAGATGCAAAAATCATTTAGTACAACATGAAGGTTCAACTACTCAATAGAGGGAATGATAGAATTAGATTCAGAGGTTGGTCTTTGGCCTTCAATATCATCATTATTGAATATCATTGCTTCCAACTCTGGTTCATCTAGATAAAGATTTGCAACCTCCAATAATCCCATATCATTAAGGCACTTGAATCTATCTTCAGCAACATCCCACATCTTGTTATCACCTGTCATATAAAGTGGGGTTTTCCTTGATAGAAGATGAAGATTTGTATGCATATAAACTAAATCTTCCGCTCGTTGTGGAGTTATTTTATTTCTCTTCATTGATTGAATAAATGAGTATGTGCTCCAATTTCTCTCACAACAAGAAGATGATGATACTTGGCCAAGAAGTTTTATTATTATTGTTTGAAGAAGCGGTGCTGAAGCTCCATGAATCCACCACCACATTTTTGGATCCATCCTTCATCTATCAACCAAAGATTTTTGATCACCAAAATTCTCTAAATATCCAAAAAAATTTGCAAGTTCTATATTAATCTTTCTTCTATCCTTATTTGGGAAATATCATTTCAAGCATATTTTTCTCATATTTGAAACTTCTAAATCTTTTTGTGGTGAGACACGTTGAGGGTCTTCTTGAAGTCATTATTTACATGAATACCTTCAAATAATACAAAACATATAAAATTATTTATTCATTTACCAAGAAATTTTAAAATTAGTTTAAAAGATGAATGCGAATGTACCTTAGATTTAATGAATAAGCCAAACAATGCAGATGTGTGTTGTTTTTGCTCACCTATCCTCAAGATGGTATATACAATACTCCAAAAACTTGAGTCTTTCTCATGTGACTTTCTTTCATGTCTGTATGTAATTTCATTCTCTTTAGCTAACATAGAGTCCCACATCTCATAAATCAAATGTAGGCATAATTTATTTGTGTTAGTCTCTCTCAACATATCATAAATTGGATCAATGAAAGCTAAAATGTAATCCATATCATCCCACCACAATCATTTAAGATATTTTCTTTCACATACCTTGCCCTCCCAACGTCATATTCTCGATAACAAGACCACTTCTCACTAATCTTTATAGATTGAAGAGCATTTTTTATTTGTTTGAATCTTCTCAACATGATTATTATAGAGGCAAATTGAGTTTCAGCAACAACTAATATTCTCAAATGTGAGAAATTATTAAACATTAATAGTCTCATTGAATGGCTCATGATGAAATTTTTGATCAGAACAACCCCATCTGCAACTACTGTTATCCAATGACATTCAACATAGATGATTTTATTAGCCTCTGTATTCTTCGTTGTACAAATATTTTCAGAGAAAGATTTATAGTGTGCATAACACTTGGAGTCTAGAATATATGAGAATAAGTTTGCTCCACCAATAATCCTACAGTTTTACACATCGGTGCATTATCTGTAATAAACTGGACAACATTTGAAGGGACAATCATGACTATCACTTCTTTAATTAAATTGGCAATGAAATATTTATCCTTGTATCCTTCACAATTCACAGCTTTAATAAACATTGGGTACTATAACTATCATATAATTAATAAGTGCTCTTCTTTGAGGATCAGTCCAATCATCACACATCAAACTAACACTTTTTTTTTCACACTCCTTTCGTTGGTTGTAGTAATGTCTCAATATGTGCTCTTTTCCTTTTCAATAATTTTGATCTTATTGCATTATAGCCAGGTAGAACATAAGCTGCAAGATTGTTATTACATGCAAAAGTGAATGAATTTTTATAATAAGAATTTCTTGGAAGGTTGAAAGAAAGTCCCGCTAAAAAAATATTCTTGCAATTTCACCATCCAATTCCTCTCGTTGCTGCATGTTAAAAGTCTTCTCTAAAGAACTACTGACAATTCCTTTTCTTTTCTTTGATTCATATCATTCACTTCTAAATGATAATGAATGATAAACTCTACAGATGAGAAAGAAGTGTGGGATGAATCATGGGCTGATGACAAAGGTATCTCTTTAGGAAGTGTTCTTTTGATCATAGATTTAGCTTCATCAACTTGTATGTGCATTTCAATCAACTACGTCGTAGTAATCTTAAGACACATTCGAATTCCATGGTCAGCAATTTTAAGTAGATGTGCTTTCACCTTAGAATATAATCCTTTGTAGGTGCCACGACAATAATTGCATTTAAATTATACATTCCCTCCTTCAAAAGTTTTTCCTAACTTGGTAACATGAATCTATAATGGCTTATCAGTTTCTACAAACAACGCTTCTGAACCTTCACCTAATCCACTCCCACTATCAATAGAGCTCATTTTTCTTTTAAATACATTGGTTAAATGGAAGAAATAAAAGCTTAATAAAATCAAGATCAGTTATAACTCTCTTAACTTTTGTGAAGAACAACCGAACAACTTAGAAAATGATAGAAAATATAGGCACCATACACTTTAGTGATGGGGAAAATACCAATTTTGCAACAATCTAAACACAATCCATTAAAAAAAAATTTACTAACAATAATAGGGCATAACTATACATCGCCACCAAGAGGTTCTAGTGTTCTACTCATCATATCAGTTCAAAATAAAATCTTGGGCAACAAATGAGTCTCCAGCAAATGCAATTAGAGAGTAAACATCATCAAAGAAAACTCCAACAAATGATTTAGGTATTTTTAAATATTCTCATCAGAATACTTTCAGGAAAAAAAATCAGGAATTTGCCTCATATAGTGATAATTGGCAAGCTGTTGACCTCTTGTTTTGTTAATTATATGCAAGACACATTATCAAGCTTGCAATGGCCCACAAACTCAAACTCTATTGGCATTCAAAGATCATTATTAACACAGCATGTCAACAAATATAATATATGAATTTAGCTGCTATACCTTAAAAGTGAGCACAAAATATACATCTTTCATAAAACTAGGGCAACAAATGACTCTCTTGCAAATGTCATTAGAGAGTAATCATCATAAAAAAAAACTCCAACAAATGATTAAGGTATTTTTAAATCTTCTCATTAGAATTCTTTCAGAAAAAAAATCAAAATCATTTTAATACTTTCAACATCCAAAACCCAAAACAATCAAAATATTTTTAGAAAAAATTAAAAAAACTTAAGACACATACTTGCTAGCGGTGCGACGAAGATGAAAGAACGGGAAGCCTTGGTTGCGCGCCGAAATGTCGAAGAAGGAAGTTTGCTCGTAGTGCGATGAAAGAAATAAGAATAGGGAAGCCTCGGTTGTACGTGGAAATGACGAAGGAACGAACCTTGGTCGCTGAAACATTGAAGGAAAGACTTGCTCGTGTGGAAACAACGAAGGAAGGGAGACCAGTTGCCTTGGCTGCTCGCCTCACTCGCCCTAAATGAAACGACCGCAATTTGGATTGTGAAAAGGTAGGGCTTCGGGTGTTATACAGTGATATATATTAAGTTTTTTTAATTATTAAATAATCGGACGACATGCATGTCTGATTTATTTATTTATTTTTTAAATGTGACACGTCTTAGACGTGTCCGACACATGTCCATGGCGTGTCGTGCACGTGTCCGTGTCCATCAAGCGTCCGACACTGCATTTCTTCTTTAGACGGAGTGTCGGTGCATCATAGATGGCTAGTCAACGTTGGTTCTACCTTGCAAGTTGACTTTTGACCCCATTCAACTCTTCAATTCACAATAATACCAAGGTAACCAGCAAGTTTCCCTTACAAATAACCAAGCAATACCTATTTCTCACATTGAACTTGGCATCCTTCCCACTCCAATTAGTAAGCTTGTTCTATCACTTCTCATTTATATTGCTCTTCTGTCTCACAACTTGTTCACAAACTATCAACTGATAATTCCTGATTCAATGGTTTTGATGCCTTTAGAAACACAATCAAGGAATCGATGACCAATCTTCCTCTTCACAAAGGCTTATGCAATAAAGTATTATGATATTCAGCCATCGCCCAAGCCTCCAGCACAACAATGGTCGAGCCACTACCACCCATCTATTCCCTACAGCTCGTTGGCAGCACCTTGGCCATCTATGAACATTCCATTCTCTCCACTTTGGCTAAATTAATTGTTTCTCAAGGCATCTCCTCAAAATAGTTTTCATGCAACTCATGTCATTTAGTGAATAGCCACACGATGCTTTTTTTCGTAACTTCCTCTAGTTATTCCCCTTGAAGTTATTCACTTTGATGCATGAGAAAAATTCCCACTTCTCTCTATCCAAGGCTATAAATATTGTATTTCCTTTCTAGATGATTTTTCTTACTAGTGATGGGATTTTCAGTTCATTTAAATTTTTTAATGACTACTTATTTTCTTAAATTTCAAGCTCCTAACTGAAATCAATTCAATGCTTCGATCATAATTTTTGGATGGAGGTTAACACTTTAATACCAACCTGAAAACATCTTCATATAATATGGCATCATCGACCAAACTGCTTGTCATCACACAAACCCCTGAGCAAAATGTAGTAGAACAAAAACAACAAAAATTGCTCAAACCCTCCTATATATAGCCACCTAACTCATTCCTTTTTGCTTGACACATACTAAGAGTTGTCCGTCTAATTAACTGGCTACCATCCCTCAATACATAAAATATCTCTTCTTATTTACTACAGCACAATAAGGAGAGCCCAACTACTTGCACCTTTAAACTTTCAGAAGCTTGTGCTTTTAGAAAAATTATGCTATCCTTGCTTATAACCATACCCCTCATTCCTTTTGGTTTGACACCTACTATAGTGAAGAATGCATCAGGGTTTGTTGTGTGAAAAAAAAATACCTGTCAAACTTAAGGAAAAATTCTACAAGATGGTGGTGAGACCTGTAATGCTTTATAACGCAGAATGTTGGCCATTAAAAGAGATGCATAATATTTAAATTAAGTGTTGCAGAGATGAGGATTCTTTGGTGGATGAGCGGCTTTACTCGTAGAGATAGGATACAAAACGAGCATATAAGTGAGAAAGTTAGAGTAGGTCCGGTGGAAGATATGATTAGTCACATTAGATGGTTTAGTCACATAAAACAACGACCTTCCAATGACCTGATTAGGAGAGTAGATATATTAGATTTGGCTTATATTAAGAAAGATAGAGGTAGCCTAAAAAGGCTTGTTTAGAAAATATTATAAATGACTTTTCTTTATTAGATTTAAATGAGAATTTGACTTTTAACATGAGGCAATGGAGAAAAGGATTCATGTAGCTGATCTCACGTGGTGGGATAAAGGCTTGATGTTATTGTTGTTGTATTTTAATTATTTTTTATTCTTCGCATCTGTTTATTAGGACGGACTAGTTTGTGCTAAAAGAAGCAAGTATGACAAAGTCTTCATCAAGAAATGGGTGTCTTACTCAAAGGAGACAATGCCCATGCGGTGTTGAACCATGTTTTGTTAGGGTTGAAGTAGATGAAGATGATTTGTCATCAGATCCTTTAGTAGAGGCCAGCATACCTGAAGGACCATCTCAATTCTCTTCGGAAATAATGTCAGTTGATAGCCCGCCTCATGTAGGCCGGTCCTTCCGAACTGATGATGAGGCTCAGGATTACTACAAGAATTTTGCTAGAAAGAATGGTTTTGCTATTCGCCGGGAGAGGTCAAAGGGAAATCCAGCTCATCCTTTAGGAGTTTACAAGCGTGAGCTTGTCTGCCATCGTGCTGGCCAATCATTACCAAGGAAGACAGCCGAGCTCAAACGGCAAAGAAATAAAAAATCGTCACGTTGTAAGTGTGAGGCCCAGATGATTATAAAGAAGAATGTCTCGAAAGGTATATCTCGATGGGTGGTTATCCATTTTAGCAATGTGCATAATCATGAACTCTTGGATAGCGAGGAAGTACGCCATCTTCCTGCTTATCGGAATATATCTTCAGTTGATCGTGAGAATATATTATCCCTTGCAAAGCGGGGTTTTACTGTGAATCATATAATGAGGGCACTCGAGACAGAGAAAAGAGTAAAGCCTGGTCAGTTAACTTTTACAGAGAGGGATCTTCGCAATTTTCTTCAGGCTTCTAAGAACATTAATAAAGAAAATGAGGGAGCTGAACTTCTTAAGGCCTGCAAGGCTTTGAAGGACAAGCATCTAGATTTTCGGTTTGAGTTCACATTGGATGAAAGTGACCGTGTTGAGCACATTGCTTGGTCATATCCAGATTCAATTCAAGCTTACAGGTTGTTTGGAGATATTGTGGTATTTGACACTAGTTATAATTTGTATGCATATGATCGACTGCTTGGAGTTTGGTTTGGATTAGACAACTATGGAAATGCCATATTTTTTGGCTGTGTTCTGCTGCAAGATGCTAAACCCCATTCACATAGATGGGCTTTGCAGGTTTGTTTGCTCTTTGGAAAATTTCTCTCTTTTTTCCTCTGGTGTCCATTGTGGGGTCAGAGATGTTAATCTTTCTTCTCTTTAGTCATTTGTTAGATTGATGGATGGGAAGTTCCCACGAACGGTGCTGACAGATCTGGACATGGGGATAAAAGATGCTATGATGAGTGAGCTACCAAGTGCAAAGCATGTGTTTGCAATATGGCATCTTACATCGAAATTATCAAGCTGGTTTTCTGCGTTGCTTGGTTCCCAGTTTGAGAAGTTCGTGTCAGAGTTTCTAAGAGTGTGCAATTTGGATAGCATTGTGGAATTTGAGCTTCAGTGGAATCAGATGGTTTTAGATTTTGGACTCGACTCTGATAGACATATAGCTATACTCTCGTTTCATAGGGAGTATTGGGCTTTGCCATATTTGCGTGGTTGTTTCTTAGGAGGATTAATGAGAAGTGGTCTTCCTTCTTCAATCAAATCATTCTTCAAAGGACCCCTGAACTCTCAAACGCGTCTCAAGGATTTCTTCGAGCAGGTAACTCTTTCATGCTATAATGGTTTTATGCTTGGTGGCTCTTATTGCGTCATCAGAGTGGTTGCATCTCATGTATCAATATCATGCTGCATTGATGCATAAAGTTTTTTAATTAGTAGATGGAAGTAGTAATTTCTTATCGTTGGTCTGATAGTATCATATGAAATATTTCAAGCATGTCATGTTTTGTTGTCGGTAACTTTAGAAAATTATGGAGAAGCTACAGCACGCATGTTGAAGATAAATTGCACACAACTAAAGCTAATTGTGTAGGTTGGGATTGCCATTGATTTCCTAAACCAAGCTGGAGAAGAAGCTACACTGCGTCAGAACTACCAAAATATCAAGAGTAAAACTTGCATGCCAATCGAGGAACAAGCATTGCACATTCTCACACCTTACGCCTTTGACATGTTTCAGAGAGAAGTTATAGAATCAATGCAATATGCAGTTTATGAAACAGCAAGAGAGAATTATCTTGTTCGCCATCGATTGATGGTCGATGGAGGACACATCGTAAGGTGCATCCAACCCGAAGATGAAATTCAGTGCAGCTGCCAAGAATTCGAGTCATCAGGAATTCTTTGTAGACACACACTTCGTGTGTTCTCATTGAAGAATTATTTCATGCTTCCTAACAGGTATCTTTTGATTCGATGGCGTCGAGAAAGTTCTTTGTTTCCTAGAAGCTCGGGCTACAAGTTCCGCTCGCAAGCATTGCGTTCTCTTGCGTCAATCATAATTCAAGAATCATCTATAACTAAGGATCGGTTTGATTATGTGCAGTGGCACATGAGCAAGCTTCTTACTCATGTGCGAGACATGCCCACAGTTGATGAAACAAGCTTAGATATGGAGCCAAGCTCAGTATATGATGCGGCAGCCAACTTTGTACCAAAACGGACAACAGCCAGGGGTACGCCTAAGAAGTTGAAAGATGTTGCCCAAGCCGAAGTTGAAGTGAACTTCGATATGGCGGAATCATAGGCATTGCTCAACAAATGCTGCATGTCTTGCATACCACAAAATTCCTTATGCATTTACCTAATACTTATATTTTATATTTATTTATATATTATTTTATATCTAAATCACATTGAAATATGTGTATTAAAAATATTTTTTTATTTAAAATAAAAATTCATAATATTTTTGTTGTGATTTAGAGATTTGAGTGTTGTATGAGTAAATATAAAAATTTTGATGTATAAATAGCTAAGAATTTTTTAGTATGGGTAGATCCTCTTTTATTTTTAATTAAATGCTTTATCTAATTATGTTATTGCAACTATTTTATTGAGGATTTTGTTTGATGTTGTTCGCAGGAAGCTGTTCCAAATGATTTAGGAGCTGTGACCATTGATGTTTCCACCAGTAAGATCTAAGATGATAATATTTTGAAATTCTAACCTCAATTATTTTTTTTTTTGTTGATATTTATATGCAGACCTTAAAATTCCTTATTTATAAAATTATTCCCCAAAGATTTAAAATGAATTAACAAATTTTTGTAGTTGTAAGTAACACAAATAACTAGAAATTTGGATGGAAGTATCATAAATAGAAATATATGAGTGTTAGCTTTGATGCACATATAATTGCTCTTTATTATTAATATTTTATAAGTTTTTCTCATTTCAGATAGATGACTCGACTGTTCCGTCTGAATTCCTATCCACTCAACTCTTTGGATATCCATTTTGTTGTAGAATCAAAGTAGGAAAGCGTAAAAGCAGAGGGAATAACTGTGCATCAAGCAATCAATATAAATCACTTTTTTCAATTTAAGAACTTTATTCTGTGCAAAGGCTATCTACCCCATTTTGTAATAAAAAAATGGTTGGAGAGAAAGTTGAAGGGTAAATAGTCTAAGCATATAACTATGATAGGATGGAGATGATACTTAAATCTATGTAATGTAATAAGCTGCAAGATTTATGTTGCATTAGTTCTCTCTTGTTTAAGAACTCGGCTTGAGTTCAAAAAATTAATCCGGACTATCATGTAAGGCATAAGCATTAATATTTGAGATATTGAGGTCGGCTAGAAAAAGGGGCTTCATTATGTAGGCGTTGTCCTTGATTCTTTTTGTTATGTCAAATGGTTTGAGCTTTGAGGGTTTTAGCTTGGAGCACACGCCAGTCGGGAACTTTACTTTGAGAAAATGGCTCATAACTTAATCCCCAACATTGAATCTTACTATGAAAGTGGAGATCAAATTATGATTTGTATTAAATTGTAGAATTTTTCAAAATGGTTTCGACCTAAATTAAATCTTAGTGCATATGATATCGTAAACTGGTAATGGAGTATAAAGCTCAATGTTTTAAGCGGTACCTTTGGATGCTTTACATATGGATTAACATTCCACGAACAACAAATATCATGTTTTACTTTGGCCAACATAAACAATCTTCCATTGAGGTGATCATTTTATTATTCCAATATATGCAAGTAGACCACCAACATGCAAGTGTTTTGTTATCTGCTTTAGAATAGGGGTATTTGTGTTACCGAATCGATTGCCTTCGAATATTATTTTTTTGTTGATAGAGTAATCTCTCAATGGTTTGTTTTTGGGACAATGTTCTCATGCTTCAACAAATTCTTTATCCATTAGATCTAAATCTTTGAGGTTTCTGAAAGCCAAGATTTGCATTTGAATGGCAGTAAGGTGGCCAATAAAACAATTCAAGAAATCAACTACATGATTGAGGGACCCATCTTTATGGAAAAAATAAAACTAGATTTAGAAGGAAATAAGAACCAACACATATGCACCTTATTATATATATTTTGAGAGTTCAAAATTGAAAGGAGTGATGATCACTAAATAATATGAATTCTTCATGCATCAAATAATGTTCGTATTAGTTGGGAATTCTATCAACAACACATAAATCTTAATTTTATGTATTGCTCATAAGATTTTCAGTGAAGAATTTAAAGTTCAACTCTCATGTAAGAGGTGCAACAATTTTCAGTGAGGAATTTGATATATCATCAAAAAATTATCTTGATCGGGTATGAATCTCGAGGCAAAATCAAGCTGAAAACATAAAAAATTAGATCCAGGATCACCTGAACTCCGATTTCAGCAAACTTACAATAAAACTGAGCATCTCAAAAATACGAACCCAAGGACACCAAATTCAACTCGATCCGAACCCAAATGAGTCCATGTCAAGGACCCAAAGCGTTGTTGGAAAGTTCAAACCACAATTTGAGTTACCAAACAGTTTCGAAACATGTCGTGCATATAGTCGAATCGAGCAGCTCGACGAGACAAATCCAACAAGCCTAGGATCGCCAAATTCAGACATCATTAAGACCTTCAAATATCTAATGAACGGTACACGATTAAGGGATTCAGTACAGCCGTCCATCCATCCACTCCCCATTTACCCATGATCTCTCACCTATTTACGGGCCATGCTACTCCAGAAATCTATAAATAGACCCCTCATTTCTCTTGAAAGGGGATCCAAGCAAGAAGAAGAAGATGAAAAGAAGAAGAAGAGAAGAAGGATAAGAGGGAAGAAACACCTCTACCACTCGGAATTCTTCCATACTTCCACGGGACGCCAAAGTTCTGCCCAACTTCCACGGAATGCCAGAATGCCGCTCAAATTTTCGGTGATGCCGAAACTCCGCCCAAGTGACGCCGGAATTTTGCCCGATGCCCAAGTGACGCCGGAATTCTGCCCGACGCCAAAGTGACGCCAGAATTCTGCCTGACGCTCAACTAACGCAAGAATTCTAAGTGACTCTGAATTTAGCTCGAATATACAACTTGTTTGTAACTGAATTTCAATCCAGAAGTGAAGCATTGTAATTTGATCATCTTAAATTTTAAGGACGAGTCAGCCTCTTGTGCTTCAAGCAAACACTAATAGAATTGTTTCAACTGGGTTTGGCATCGTGGATTTTCCCCTTCCAAGGATTTCCACTTAAACATCCTAGTGTCTTCATTTCTCTCATATTTGTGTGCTGGATATCCGTACAACGCTGAGATGGAAACTTTCTTACTTTATCGCCGCGTATATTCTAGTTCATAATAGTTTGGCACCATCTCTAGGAAACATTATCCCATAATTTCAAGTATTGCTTTAATGGTTTACAAGCGTAGTAGTCGTATCATTGGAATTTCTCGCTCCAACTCCCACCAATCCAGAAATCAGTCTATGAATCATAGACGCCCAATATCTGCCTCTTTTTACCCAGGGGGCAAAATGTTGCTGGAGAAGGAACCTCAAGACCTTCCTTAAAAGAGAGAATTTGAAAGATGGAAGAATCTCAGAATGGGATCCTTCAACTCTTGCGACAGACTCGACATCTAGCATTACCACAACGGGAGGAGGTTCTTCTCCCACGATCTCCACCACTTGTCGAAGATGTTCAACCCGAACATCTTCAAGCTGAGATTCATCTTCCTCCGCCAAGAAGAAATCCGCAATCACACCAGGATAACAAACTTGCTGATACAACAAGTTTTACCCATCCTTCTCCCACAACTCGACAACCTCGCATTCCTCCAGACCTCCTAGAAGAATTAGCCCAACCGCACGTTGCTGAGCTCCCTCGCCATGCCCTACGCCATGAACTGTGGAGATTAGTACGGGAAGAGTTCCCCGGAGGAGATGTGAGGAAAACTCTTCGATAGTGGAACTTACAGGAGTCATCACCTCTGACTGAAGCTATTCTTTAGCACTCTATTCCGGTTGGATTCAAACTACCGAGCATCGAATCCTACGATAGAACATCTGACCCATATGAGCATATCAATCACTATAGAACCATCATGTATATCCAGTGAGCCTTGGATACACTCCTATGTTAGGCTTTTCCTGCCACCCTTAAAGGACAGGCTTAAAAGTGGTTCTATTTGCTTCAATCCGAAATGATCCATTTATTCGTCAAATTGGCCAAAGTGTTCATCGAATAGTTCACAGCCAATCGAAGAATTACTAAGGATTCTTCCCACCTCTCTGAGATCCGTGAAAATGAAGGAGAATCATTGAAGGAGTATTTTCAACGATTTTCCACCGAGGCTCAACAAATTCCAGGAGTAGACCCTGAATTACTGAGAGGGGTCTTTTTTAGAGGCCTTTGTCCTGACCCCTTCTATTCGGATCTTATGAGGGATACTGTTCATTCATATGCCGACCTGATTCATCATGTGGAGGCGCAAATCTTGACAGATGAAGCTATAAATGCTCACAGAAATTAGTTCGAGCAAATCAATGGGAAGCGTAAAGGTGCACCTAGGATATATAATTCATTCTCACAACAAAAGAAGCAATGGAAGAATAATCTATCTATTAGGCCTCCATTCCCGTGATGGCAACCTCATAGGAGAATGAGTATGCCCCACTCAACACATATCGAGCAAATGTATTGATGGCCATTCGAGATCAAGATACAATGAAATGGCTGAATCCTTTGAAGCTGAACACATGAAATCATGATCAGTACTGTCACTTTTATCATTGTCGTGATCACACTTTCGAAGCCTGTAAGAAAGTTAAGGATGAAATTGAAAGACTTATCCATCAGGGCTATATTCAACAATTTATTTGAGATCCACCTACCTGAGAGGAAGCTCGTACCGCTGGGGGCAATATCAACAACAGAGACAACCGATGAATAATCGAATAATAATGGGTGAAATTGAGATAATAGCAGGAGGCCTCTTTCTCTCTAATTAAGTTTTTTTGGTTGTAGATGAAAACCTAATGTAAAAGAAAGCTCGTATGGATCACTCTATCACTTTTGATGATTCTGATTTAGAGAGAGTAAAAACCCCTCATCAAGATCCACTTGTGATTGATTAGGGGATAGGTGATCCATGTTACAATGTCAAAAAAATTCTTGTGGATAATGGAAGCTCCATAGATGTCCTATTTTACTTAACCTTTCTCAATTTAGGTCGCTAGAAGAAAAGCTTCAGCCTTTTACATGTCCACAATACGGGTTTGACAATCAACCTGTACGGGCAAAGGGGATAATCAATCTCCTAGTTATACTTGGAGAATTTTCCCGACAGACTACACACTCCATCTAGTTCATTGTAGTAAAGTCAGAATCGACTTATAATGCTAGAATCAGCTTATAATGCAATCTTTGGAATGACGCTCCAATCAATTTTTAGGATCATCGCCTCTATCCCTCACCTGAAGATAAAGTTTCTTATCCCAGTAGAAGTCAGTGTAGTATATGGATATCAACAAAT